GCAGTGCCCGTGCAAGCCCCAGGCGGCATTCTGCGCGAGCATTGCACTACGGCTGCAAAGTGGCGCGCGTTAGGTGAGGGCTCGCTGATGAGCCCGTTGGTCATTTCAGGGGTTTTGCATGCGGGCCGTTGAAATGCGCCAGGTGGCAGTTGAGTGTGGTTCAGGAGCAGCAAAGAAAGATTTTGCTGGGCGCGCGCGATACGCCATCATCGCCTTGCGGCGATTTTTGACGAGCAGAGAGGCAGTTGTAGGAAGCAGCGCAAATTGGCGACCGAGGAGCAGCCGTTGGCAACAGCAGCGCGCGCTCGCCATCCGGCGCTGCGCAAAGCAACAGCGATTAGCGATGAAGCTGGCGAGGAGGCGAATGCGGAACTGTCGCCCGGTGCAGATGGCGGCGGCGGCGGCGGTGCGTCGGCAGCAGCGTCGTGCCAGCAGCCCACGGCAACGATCGTGTGCACCAAAGGCGAGCCGCTCTGCAGCGAGGACATCGCCGGCATCACGCCGCCGCAGCAGCAGCAGCGTAACACGCTACCGCCGGTTGTTCACTCGCATTCGGTGCCGCCAATGCGCTCCTCCAGGCTCCACGACATATCGGCAATGAGCGTGGTTCGTTTGCATATTGCTACTGTTTGTTTGTCCCCGATCAGCCGTCCTCAGCTATCTGTGCACCGGCACAGCACACAAGCCAGTAATTCTCTGTGCATGCCTTTTTAGGTTCGCAGCTGCGATGGGATTTTTTCCGAAGAACTCAGTGGAACACCGTCCGATGCTGTGAATGCGCTAAGAAGCCGAGTTAGTTTCCTATCATTGTTGTTCGCTGGGCAGGCAGGCATGGCGCTGTGGGGTGGCACTATTGTCGTGCAGTAGCTTGTAGCTTCTACTCTGCCGTTGAGACAACGAATTCGCTTACCACCCGTTTCGATGGTAAATCGGTAGTGGCATATGCCGCGCAGTGAAACCCACCATCAGCTTGCGTGTGAACATCTTTCATAAGAGGGGGCCATCGACAGCCTTGTTAGCGGGTGGTTGCTGTTGACATTTGCTATCATTCGGGCTACTTGCTGTGTGCCTTCGCCCCTCACTGAGATCGAAATACGATAGTGGTTTTGGCTAAATATCCTCTGGATGGGCTGTAGAGCATTGCTTTCTTAGTTTCATAAAGACGCTAGGGGATGCCCTTTACTCATCTGTCATTATACTAATTGGAAAAGCAATGGAAGGTAAGTGGAACGTAAAACAGAATAAGCGCATTTGACTGGAAACAGTGACTTCAGAGTGTCCATGTTCTAATGAAAGAGGGCTAAAAACATTACATTCAGTGCATGCGGTACGTGCACTAGCATTCATGGGTTTTTCAGGCTGTGGTGGACCCGTCGTGTACGGTGGGAACAACATACTGTCGCGATGGCGGTGGCATTTTGCCCCTGGGCAACTATCTGATACCACCAAAGTCTGTGATACAGGATGATATTCGAATGAAATCTGGACGATTCGAGTTGGTAAAAAAGAAGGGCAGATCGGAAGTCTGGAATCTGTTTGGTCAGGTTCGTTATTCAGAAGCCACAGCAGAAAAAAATACATGCGATGAATTCGGATGACTACTGAAAAATGTCCGGGGAAAGATATACTAGGTAAATCTGGGCAGTAGTATAGTTGAGAGCATCCTGATCGCTGGAAATTTGACCAGCAGTTCAGTGGACGGAATTTAGATCGATCAGTGTGCTCGATCTGAACGATTTTGATGAAGTACGGTAAAACTACTTTGAGAGTTATACCATTCACATTTTAACTTGCCATGTACACGAGTCTGTAGATCAAGAACTGGTCTGGTAATTTTCCTGAAATTATTGAAATGCAACAGTGCATATCAGCTGATACGTTGAAACAGTAATGAGTTTATCTGACCGTGAAGTTATCCTTTTCCGGTTTTTTTTCAGCACTACCAGTTCACTAACGGTGGTGCCAAAGCTTTCTACACTAGGCAATAGGATCGAATGCATACACACAGTAGATTTCAGCAACCGTTTCACCAGTCTACCGCATTCTCACGTTATTGATAACCTATTCTAACTTACTGACCTCTGCTTCACCAATGCAGGGAAAGAATACACTGGTTTAAGTAAAACCCAAACTTGGTATGCTAACGAATTCACATGTGGCGTCATATCTTACACAAAGAATGAAGGCCAGGCGATGCTTCGAATTATTCTCGAGGAAACATGCTTACAATTTAGTGGTTACGTTTTCAAGCAAACACAAGGTGTACCAATGGGATACCTCTCATTGGTAGGTACATTACATGTTAGTCCAGATATTGCCGATCTCACATTATCATTCATGGAATATCGGTTCCTTCGTAAAAATCCTAATACTTATCTTCATCTTTTTCGGTATATCGATGACACCCTCATTGTCAACTGCGCCAACTTTGCTGAAATCGCCAGTAATTTTTATGAACTCAGCTTGCAACTCAACTCCAACTACTCCGAACAGAGGGCTTGCTTTTTAGACCTTGAAATTTCATGCTAAGAGAGCAGATGCATTTTCAGTGTACACAATAAAATCTTAGACTACCCATTCAACGTAAATCACGGAACGTCTCTACATAGTGATATGGACCAAACGGTGCAGGAAGGAGTCAATATCACAACTACTTCGTTATGCACGTATATGCACTTTTCCAGAGGGATTCCATAACTGGGCTAAACGGCTTATAGCCAAAAAAAGTTTGATATTGCCAAACTAGAACGCTCCGTTCTCAGATTTTGCTTCAGGAACCGAGCAGTACTGAATAAATTCATCTTCCCTGATGATTCGGGAATTAAACGCCTAGTGAGCAGTTTATTCGCATAAAGCTCTTTCACTTTTCTGCTCCTTCACTTATATCTCTTTCTTTCGCTTCTCCGTCTTACAAATTATTTACATGACTATTCAAAACATGGCGGGT